TGGTTTGCACACTGGGTCTGCTATTCGCCAGAGGTCCGCTTTTCGATTCCCGGCGAAGGCGCTTTTAATTTTTTATCTTTCCTGCTTTCAAAAATACCTAATGTCTCTACAAACCTTCGCAAACATTCTGACTAGTTTATATCGATTTCCTTCTCTTTAAGCATTTTTTCTAACAATTACAGATTTGTCTCAATATGCAAACCAATGCTCTCACTAGTTTTTGAGTGCTTTATCTTCTAACTTGTCAACATCTCCACAATGTACCTATGAGAGTTTAATTGATCTGGTAAAAGTTAAATAGTCCAAAACCCCCGACAGACGTGAAGCATATTATCGCTATGTCTGAAATTAACTACAATATCAGACAAAGGTTTAAATAACAAGAACAGTCAAATTCAAAACTAATAATGTGAATTAGTGGTTCAAAGATTATACAATTTAATTTTAATTTAATCTGGCTCAATAACTATATCATATAAGGAAATAGAAATGGGAAATTATAGTAAAGGCTGAAATCATAAACAATTGCATAATTTACATAATAATAACTGCACATATCTTTGAAGAATAATTTTCTTTATGTATTCAGTTATTCTTATTCAGTTTCTTTCTTCAAAATGTTTCCTTTCCATTTTAGAATTTTTGGACTTAATTAAGGATTTCAGTTATTCTAAAAAACACTAAATGCAATTAGAATGTATAGAAAAAGCGGCTAATTTTATTTCTCTCAGTAATATGAACATTCAGAAAAATACGATATATACCAAAGGTCGGGTTAAAATGATGTGTCAGTTCTAAATTTAGTGCAGACTGAAGAAATCTCGGAAGCAGAACTTTAGAATTTAGATCCACATTGAAAGCATTTAGGATATCAGATTGTCAGGTAGGAAAATGCCTAGTGCCAGCTGATGCATTAAGACACATTAGATAATCTCTTTAAATTCTAAGTTTTCAATTTCTTTATTAATAAAAAAAATCCCTTTCCAAAATGCCTGCCCATGTGATAAGGTTAGTAAGCATTTTTAATATTATCCATGCTTGTGTCTAGTGAAAAGTAGAGAAATTAAAGGGAAGATAAACATGTTAAGAAAAAGATTCTAGTATCAAAAAATTCAATTTTATGTTTTCATTGTTCTTCCAGACATTCTCCAAAAAGTAAGAAATTCATTGCATACTTTCTGTAAAATACATCCATTACGTGTTGATACTATGGAGACATTTTTCATTTTGTCACACATTTCTCGAATCTTCTAGAATCGTGGGCCTATAAATCTTGCCTTCAAATCTTTCCAAGCTGCAATGTCTAAAATCCTGAAGAAAAATTATCCCTACCATTTCTGTAACAGCAAAAAGACAGAGATATTTTGGGGAAAAAAAAAAAAAAAAAAGAGGTAAAAAGTATAAAATTAATTTTATACAGAAAACTGATGCCCATTCTGATAATTTTTAATAATCTGAGACAATTACATGGGAAAAATTCTTACTATGAAAAAATTAAAAACAAGACATTTTTAATTAATTACATAGCTAATTTTGCTTTTGCTAAGAGCTGTTTCGTAAATTGTGCTTTATAGCATTATACCTTGTTTGTTTTTCAGACTCAAAATGAAACTTTATAATTTGACAGCAAAAAATAAAAATGTTTTATTTTAATGTTCTTTTTTAAATATAATTTCAATATATTACCCACTATTTAAATGAAATTTGTCAATGTTACGATGCTTTTAAAAAAGTCGTCGAAAAATTCTCAGATCTCGGAATTAATTTCTATAGAAACTAATCTTAAAATTGTCAAAATGTTGAAAAGTTGCCAAATTTAGAACCGTTTGATAAAAGAATTCACATCCTCAAAAGTGAAAAGTTGTTTAAAAGCTCTATTATAAAAAATGAATTTCGAAATGCTTATGTTTCATTTCCAGCTTAGAAACTCGAGTAACCCATCATTTATATTAGAAATCGAAACAAATTATAACTCATAAACCCACTCAAAAGATTTACCATATATACGGCAGTGAATCGCCAAAAATATTCCTCCAAAAATCTCTCGGGTAATATATTGAAATGCCAATTCCAAAATGCTAATTCACACTCAAAATGGCAGTCGTAAAAACACACAGAAATTTCAGATGATTAAAATTAAGGACCTTCTGCTGACTTTAACCAAAACTAAGGACTTTTAAGGACCAAAAATCGATTCCAAAAAAATTAAGGACTCTTAAGGACCGTACGAACACTGATTTAATAATTTAATACTGAAAAACATTGCGCAAATTATCATTTACCATCTACGAAGGAAGTTGAAATGGATCTCATACATGGTGACATTCCTTCATTTATGCTAAAAATTATAAATGTTAAATTTAGTGACAAATTTTTGAAGAAACTTTCAGGTCTACAGTAGATAGAATAAAACAAATTAACTGCATCATAATATATAAAACTAGTACCATAAATGAAAGAAAGCTGCAAAATAAATACATGGCAAATTTCAAACAATTTATTTGACTAAAAGTCCTACTATAGTGAACCTAGTTTATAACAAACTTTTTGGTCCCATCCAATTTCCTATGCATTTAATGTTATTTTATACGAATAGCAAGCCTCTGTATGTATGAAAATCAGGTTAACAAACTTTATGGATATCTTTAACTTCAACTTTATTATTATTATTATTTTCTTAGATATGTTACAAATTTTAATTGAAAAATTATTAACTCTTAGAATCATCTATGTTTAGGATGCTAGCGTCCACATTTCGTGAATACGATGACAGAAAAAAATCTTTATGTTAATCTTTTATTTTCAGTCCCATCTTCTATGTTCTCAATTACTATGTGAAGCAAAAGTAACACCTAGAGTGAATAGATTATTATGAGCTTGAGGCTTATATGAGAATTTATCTTTTAGAAAATGGAAATTTTTTTATCAATTTGTTTTGTGTATGTATTTAAATACTCTCAAAACTCTTTTCTAAATGGAAAGAGTTGCATTCATTAGATTTTTTGGAAGACTGAAAATGTTCTTTATAGGGATTATTTTCACCTTTGCTTTCACCATACACATCTTGAGGGAAATTAATGCATTCTTACTGGATATTGGATAGGATACATTAGCAATGAAATTGTCTTTGCTTTTCATATCTTCCATAACCATAACTTTTATACTAAGCAATTAATTGTGCAAAATTATTAACATGTAGTGAAAATAAAAAAACAATGATACAAAAATTTGTAATTACAGATAATAATTGTAATCATATCTCAACACATGCTTTTTTTAAATTACAATTATTTTTCAATTTTTTGGGAGATGTGGGAATATTTTTTTCCCTTCCCCCCTTGATTCATCAATCCATTTTTACACTATTTTGCGATATGACAATTTTTTCTTAGCACAGAGAATATAGTGAACTAAACTTTTTTAAAGTTCATTCTAGAAAGGTTTGACTTACATTATAGTTTATCTCTATAACTACAAATTTTTCTAACCCTTCATTAAAATAAATTTTATGCTATGAAAAACAGAATCTGAAATAGACAAATACATGCTCTGTCTCTCAATTATCAATAAGACAGTGATGGAAAACAGAAGCAATATACTACTAAATGAAGTTCAAAATAAATGGAAAAAAATATACTTACAAAATATACATAAATAGAGTAAAAGTTAGTTTTTGATAGCAGCATTTATAATTACTGCTTCGTTTAAATGACTGTTTCTAATACGCAATGTATCACAAGATGGGTACAACTCTGATATACGCCCTAATTTCACCAAATGTGGCAATATGTGTTCTGCGCTGGTTTTCGGCGCGATTGCGTGTTGTATGGCAACCCTGTTGACATGGAAAAATTTTTCGCTGGAGCTCGTTGGTTCACGAAGATAGGGGGAAAGATAAAATGGTGGAAGTTGTTGAACTGAAGTTCGGCAAAAGGAAATATCATCGTGGCCATCCTGTTGAGGGGCAGTGGGTATTTGGAGGTGTGAAAAGAGGGTCTGGGAGATTATTTTTAGTGGTTGTGCATGATAGAAATAAGGATTTGTGATTTTATTTATTTGTGAACCATAGTATGAATTTTTCTGGATAGTGTACCTGGCTATCATATAAATATGATAGTAATTACCTGGTGACATGAAATTGGTATTTCTGTTGTTCGAAAAAGCATTAATTCATGGTAAGCACACTTTATTTTATTCTTGTTCTTATTTTGTAGAATGTTATGTTCATTTTTTTTTTTAGTATGCATTTCTGTCATTATTGTTGTTTTTTTAAATTGTTTGAAATTTATTTGTTATTTTGTTGATTAGTGCATAGCGCCTAGACTGTGCAATTCGTAGATTTTTTTAAAAGTTGAAATAGAACACCGTGTACACGGTATTTTTTGAAATTTATTGTTGTTATGTTAATTTATTAAAGCGAGGTGTGCATAGTTCGTTTGTTGCCTAGATTGTGTAATTCGAAGATGATTTTTTTTAAAGTTTAAACAAGATGCTGTGTACATGGTATTCTTTGAAATTTATTGTTGTTATGTTAATTTATTAAAGCGAGGTGTGAGTAGTTCGTAGATTCGTTCTTTGCCTAGATTGTGCCATTCATAGATTTTTTTTTAAAGTTAAAACAAATCACTGTGTACATGGATTCTTGTCAAATATTTTTGGTTAGAAACTTTACGTTTTTGCTATCTAAATTTTTTGTTTTTGTTTCGGAATTTTAGCTTAAATTGTGTGTTCAAAACGTGGTTTTTGCATGTGCGCTTTTGGAGACATTTTAGGCTTAAAGTTCAAAATGTAGACAAAAAATTTAGATAGTAAGTAATATGGCAGCATGGAGTTTCTTGCCAAAAATGTTTGGCGAGAAATTTGGCGACTTGAGGGCGCATATCAGAGTAGTTCCACAAGATGACACTCTCAGATGGTTCTAGCACTTAAGCTCCGATAAGAATTTTATAGTTTGCATAAAGTACTCTTAGATTTTTCATATAACACTTCAAATTAAGATATAAAAGATGTAAAGAATGTTCTTTATTTTGCATTATTTACAATGTTAAAATGAATACAATGAATAGCTTTCAAATCCGGAAATTATCCAGAACATCCTCTGCAGCCACAATGAACACATTCTACGATTTTACCCTGAAAAATAACAATATAATAATTAATTATAAAAATCATTTTAATTTCAAACTTTATGAAGCTATAATTTCAAATATAAACACAGGAAACACATTTAGACAATAAAAGGAAATGAAATACAGGAAACAGATTTTCATGATGAATATGAGGTACAGATTCAAACAGATGCACTTCAAAAGCTGTAATAAGTTTTAAGCTGTGAACAGTATGATAATGTACTCATTTTTAAAAATATAGAAAGATAAAATATAAATGGTGATACAAATTATGAATTATGTAACTCATAACTTCAGATTAATGGCAATATTAAATATGATGTAGTAGGAAAAAATTTAACACTGATATTTTCTAACACAAAAAAATTTCTTAATATTTTCATTCCTCAGCTAACCAAACAATAATAGTAACATCATTAAAGCAATTTCTTGCATAATACAGAAATTTTAGATAATGCTTTATAAAAAATTATAACAAGTATATAGACACATCTGGCGTTCACTTTTCCACATAGTCGCCAAACCTGTTTAGGCATTTGTCAGAATGTTCGACCAACTTGTTTATCCCGTCTTGGTAGTAATCAGGGCCCTGCTCATTGAGCCATTTCTCAGCAGCTGTTTTCACTGCATCGTCTGAAATGCATGTTCCGGATAAGTATCGCTTCAACGCCAGAAAAATGAAATACTCACTTGGAGCCAAATCGGGCTGTAAGGGGGGAGAGGTGATTCCAGACCTCCCACTTGAACCTTCGTAGCAATTCCTGAGTCTGGCGAGCTGTATGGGGCCTGGCATTGTCATGCAGAAGAATGACGCCTTTGCTCAGTAATCCAGGCCGTTTGTGTCAGATGGCTTTACGCAATTTCGTTAAGGTAGCACAATAACGATCGGCCTTAATGGTATGGCCACACTCCAAATACTCGATTAGGATAACACCAGTCATATCCCAGAAAACGGTTGCCATCACTTTACTGGCAGAGGGTGTGACCTTAAACTTCTTCCTCCCTCGTCGTGATCCAGCGTGTTTCCACTCCATCGTGGCTCTTTTGGATTGGGGGTGAAGTGATGAAGCCATGTTTCATCACCGTAAACGATTTTTCGATCAATGAAGTGTTGGCCGTCTGAATGGTATCGCTGAAGAAATGTGAGGCTGCACATCATTCGAATGGCCTTATGCTCCGCGGACAATGCATGTGGAACCCAGCGGGCACAAACTTTGGAATATCTCAACTCATCGGTTCATTAGGAGAAAATTATTACTGATTGCATTCCTAAGAAACCTGGTCTAAATGTTAAGAACTTCATTTCTGTAAATTTCAATATAGTACTAGTAGAAATGTGTAGGCCAGTGTGGCCATTCAGAATAATGCTTACCTATATTGTGATCCCACCTCCTTTGTTCCGATGCCTTTTGCCGAAGTTTCCAATCTTATTGTGTGTGTTTTGCTCCCTATAGATTATAATGCATCTGGAATCACTCTGAAAACATACTGAAAAATACGTAAGTGTCGTGCACATTTTTTTTTTTTAACTATATATATTTTTTCTGCTATTCCAGACCCTTAAATAGACTGGTATTAAAAATTAAAAGTACAACTATAAAAAATTCCTTTCTATTAATTCTATTACATGAAGTGCAATTAAAGGTGATTGGTAGCTGAGGTTCAATGTTATCACATTCATCTTTGTTAAAAAAAAAAGGAAATCAGTGCATCTATTCTTTCAGTTAGTATGGAAAGGAGTACATACGAGTGCTGCAAACTTTAATTTTCTAATTCAATTTCTTCATACAGAGTTAAATACCATTTTCATGTGTAGACAGACGGTAGAGCATATCACTGAAAAAGCATCTGACAGACTGTGAGAAGAGCATGCGACTGGAAGAATTTAAGCAAAATAGATACTGACACAGATCTGTAAAAATTAAAAAACAGTAGAAGGTATTATGCCAAGAATTTGGAAATGGTTTAACGACACTGATGCTGTATGCAGGTAACTATGTCGAAGCCAAAAATGTGTCATAACAGACTCTAAGGATTGTTACATGGCAGCTACTGCTGAACGAGACAGACAATTGACATCAGTCTAGACAAAAATGGAGTTTTCTGCAGCTACAACTGCTAGACTATCCAGATGTATCATGGGTAGCAGGTGGCATAAAACAGAGCAACATGCAAGGAAATTCATTATTAAGGACTGTACAAGTAGTTGGGATATATAAAACATGTTGTTTAAAAAGCATTTGATGGATTAAGAGATAAGACCTGTGATTTTGAAGAATGCTGCACCAGGTGACAGAATTTAGTAAGGAAGTGGATGACAGAATTTTGGAGCAACAGTTTGCACTAGGCACACTAGCAGTAACTCTGCTCAGACTACCATAGACTGGAGTTGCATTTGCTTTAATGAGTCTTTGGTTTTCAGAGTAATTCCAGATGCATTATAATCTACAGGGAGCAAAACACACACAATAAGACTAGAAACTTCGGCAAAAGGCATCGGAACAAAGGAGGTGGAATCACAATATAGGTAAGCATTATTCTGAATGGCCACACTGGCCTGCACATTTCTACTAGTACTATGTTGAAATTAACAGAAATGAAGTTCTTAATATTTAGACCAGGTTTCTTAGGAATGCAATTGGTAATAATTTCCTCCTAATGAATGATAATGCTTGTCTCCCATCATGCTGAACTAGTGACTGATTATCTTGAGGGTGAAGTAATCCAGCGGAAGTATTGACACATATATTCTCCAGATTTAAATTCAGTAGAACACTGGTTCCCAGTCTTCTTTGCCCCTTGCATTCCTTTCACCATTGCTAGACATTCATCATTGCCTCCTTTCCAAAAATCGAAAAATAGATATATATTTATTTAAATTATTTTTTAATATGTTTTGTAACTTTAACAAGAAAATTATAAAAAATGTTGATAAATACCAAAAGTTGAACAGAAGTAGTTTTTTACATTCATAAATTAAAACTAAATATTTAACAGTAAATAAAATCCCCCCACGAAAAAAGAATGTGCTTCACTACATTTATTATTCTTTTTAAATTTGTTAATGAATATATTTAATCATCAAACATGAAAGTTAAAGGCATTTTAAGTCAAGAGAGAGGGACTATAAACTTTTTACTTTCATACATATTGTTTCCTAAAATAATGTTTTTTAGAATATTAACATCTTTCTGTATCATAAAATTCTAATTAGTCAACAATCCACCAATGAACTCTTCTGCATTCGTAAGACATGTTCAAGTTTTCTGCAAATGAAAATGCTTTCTTACGCACTCTTTTGAAAATCACATTTGATAAATGCATAATTTATTTTTCTGTGAATGAAAACTAAATGTTTTCTGCAAACAAAAATATTTTGAGATGACAAAGCAGTCACTTTTATAAAATTGCTTTCACAATAAACAAAAATATTCTACTGCCAAGAATTTAATATCTCCACTCAGAACATACTAACTGATTAATATGTGATTTTGTTACTTAAAGATTTTAAAATAAACAACTTTCAAGTAAAAAGCAATTTTTTTTTAATGTTGATTCAACAAAGGTTTAAAACAAAATCAAATATTTTAGGCTGACATACTAAAAATCACATAACACATTAGTAAGCTAGAAGCTTTCATAGATGGCTTGTGTGCTTCATCGGCTAGAATCCAAATGAATGGCTGGATCAAGTTCCTCTTCTTCTACTGTTTCGTACAAGACTGCTGTATATTTTTGAGAATTGATGTCCAGATGACAGATTGAAAGTAAGATCGCTATTGTAACATGGTCTTATGGCAATTTCCTAAAGCATATCTGATTTTAAGTCTAATTTTGTACCATGATTTCTATTTTGTCTCATTTATATGAGTTTGGATGTTTAAAGAATATTTTACCAAACTGCTATTTTGTAACCGTATTGGTTGATCTTGTGCTCAGCAATTCTTACTGATAATCTTCTAGGAGTAAAACCAATACGTTAAATTTTCACATTTGTATCTTCATTGCAGAAAGGGATGGTACGCATATCTGACGTATTTGCTGTGCTGGAATCTGATAGTATTTTTAAGACTATTTTATTATGATTGCAATACACTTTTTTATACATTAATATTTTTGATGATAAATAATAATAATGGGCTATTTTTAGAACGAATACTACTATCAATTTTTATAATTATTAATAGCTTTTTAAAGACGCACACAAGACAGACAGTTACATACTACAGAAAAATTTCTAAGTATTTTTAATAAAAATTTTTAACAGCATTTAAACTATTCATTCAAGGAACAATAAGCATTTACATTCAGTTTTTTTTGTTAATATAAATAAATGATTTAACAATAAAAAATATGATATGAATACATTATAATTATTATCATACTTCTTCCAGTTTGCTTTTTGGTACTCTGCAGATACAATTAGTTCCAAAATTTGTGTCCCTTGTCTGAATGCATCGAAGGCAGCATAAGTTTTCATAGCCCTGTTTTTTCCATTTAGCAATAAGATTTTTGTCAGCAATGTTTTCTTTCAAACAGTAGTCATAAAGTTCTGGGGAAAAAAAGGAGCTTTTATAATTTAAGCAAAATTTAAAAAAGCAAAAAGAATTATTTATATACATCATATCGCTTTCTAGCAAACATGAATTTCTATCTCCAATCCTGAAAATATTCACATCACTAAAATTCTGGATGACCTATAATACTTCAGTTAAATATTAAAGGTATTAGAGTTCTGAAATATGCAGAGTTTCTTTGTATTTACAAAAGACAGCATTTATTCCTCATATAATTTTTATATTTCAACTTGCTTTTCCTAAAATATCATTTGCTTAACAACAGAATTTTCTACACAGTTAATCAGTTGCTTCGACATATTTTGCTTTTCACATGATCTAATATGCATCTTCCATAGATTTGAAAGAATAGCAAAAACATTTTGCAGGAAAGTGGGAAAAATCACCATGCAGATGCAGTTGTGTATTAATACAATACCATGTTTTTCATGCTACAGATAATTTTGTGATGGATGCTAAGATGCTGATGAACTCATTGGAATCTCTGCATCAGGTTGTGACCACCATTTATAGTCTAAGACAGATGAAAACTTTGACACCATTTATTTTTATTCTAACACAAATTTTCTGTGTATATTACTTACATCTTAAAAAAAGAGAAAAAAAATACTAATAAAAATTCAGTGTGACAAAATAAACAGAAATACACATTTACGTTTAATGTTTCTAGCTTGTTTGAAAATTGATTCCCCTTGATTTTGGAAATTTCTTGTACTGCTTTCAAGGATAAAGTTTGAAAAGTTTTTTATTTTTTTATGCTATTGAATTCATTGTGAAACATCTACTTTATTACAGACACATTGACTTGCATTCGTTAAACATTTTGCTAGTAAAGTTTTATTATTAAAGGCTTATATATTTTGCTTACTATTAAAGGCAAAAATAGCTTTTCAGTTATATTACGGTAAATCGAATGCTTCAATTTTTGTTTGTTTCTTATTTTAAAATAGATCATACCAAGAAGAAATATTAAGTTATAGCCAAGATTTACAGATGTGTAGTAAATACAAAATGCAAAGCTATGTAAAATGTTTATTATTATACGTGTGGAAAAGTCAACATTACAAGGGGATTTTATGTCAAATAAGCTTACTACTCATACTATTGTGTGTGTAAAAAAGCAACATTACAGGGGCAATTGTAATTTTTATGTCTCTCTATAAAAACTTATAAGAAAACAGCACATAAAATTACACAGGACATAAAAAATTTGAAATTATTTAATGAATTCATACTTATAGCTCTAATTCTGTGAAATGATTTTGAAAAAGTACCAAAAGAGAAACAAATCCATGAATTTCTCATTTCTATATTTTTTAACATCATTAACAATTTTAGACATGCTGAACGTACAAAATATTTCAGATTTCTGTACAACTGAATGATATCATACTTTAATGTAGATTCAGACACATATTTAATTAAATGAATTGATTTATTTAGTTTTTATGAGATTCATTTTTTTATTGATATAGTTATAAAAAAGAAAAAAACTATTTTCCCAAAAGTGTAATTTCACATGTCTCCAGCTAGTTATTAATAACAGAGATACAGAACTACATTTATTTTTTCAAATCTCTTAAGTTCATTCATCAATAACATACAACTTTAATTTGAGAGAAGAATTAAATATCTCCTGGTTTGATAAAGAAAAAGCCACTGGTGCATCAAAGATAAAATATTTTATTTCAGGCAGAGGCAATATACTTCTTTTAAATAGTAATTGACTTTATTAATTAAATTTGTTAGACAAATATGTTATGCTTTGCAAGTGGCAACAAATTTCTTGTAAATCATTGAGTTTTCTGATTAATTTTGAAACATAAATATCTTATGATTTTCCAAGAGGCAATACACTGCTTTTAAATAATGGAGTTTGTTAATAAAAAATTCAATAAATTTGCATCAAGTATGAAATAAATAGAAAAACAAATTTTAAATTCAAAATTAAGGCTTCAAAAAGCTTATGTTCGGATGGAGGTCAATGTGTTCAAAATCTGCTGCTTAGTTTTTATAATGCGAGGAACATACATACATAAAAATTCTTCATTACTTAATAACTAACTGCTTACACAGCCTAAAACAGTACAGTAAAAAGTCTGAAATTCAGAATCGTTGGGACTTCGGTGATTTCAGAAATTTCTTGATTTTAGACCAGGGATGGCCAACCCATGGCACATGTGCCACGGTGTGTCATAATCATTTAACAGCAGCACACAAAGTTTTATTGAATTAAAAAAAAATTGAGAAAATAAATCAACTCTGTCAATAGATACACAAATAAACACATTAGAACAAATATAATATTTTACTTTCCCTGCAAGACGCTAATTGTTACCCAACTGAAATCCAAATCAAAATTATTGACATACAGCAGCATACTACATTAAAAAGGAAAAATAAGAAGCTTATTTCAATTGCAAAAGATCCAAATTATATTGAATTTTGGAAAGTCGTACCAAAAAGCAATTTTCCAAATATACATGATTTGGCTGTTAGATATTGTTGTAGGTTTGGATCTACATATGTTTGTGAACAAATGTTTTCTATTATGAACATAATTAAATCAAAATATAGTTCAAGATGAACTGATATGCACTTAAAACACCAAATTTTGTTAGCATCTTCAAGAACTAATTCTAATATTGGTACATGCTTGGTAAAAAAACTACATATTTAAAATCTACATTAATTAAGTATTGACTGTTTAATAGTTATTTAGAATTAAATGTTTCAATTCATATTTATTTTATACATAACTGACTGAAATTTAAAAAATGGTTATTAACAATAACACTCCAAACTGTACATTTTTATTTATTATATTATTTTTTAAATGTCCACTACTCAGATTTACATAAAAAAATGTGCTACTGGCCTAAAAATCCCATATGCAGCCTATAAATAGTATTTTTTCCCACTTGTTTGTTGAAAAAGTTGAAAGTAACAATCGTTCAAGAAAGGTTGGCAACCCCTGTTTTAGACTATTGGTTTAAATCTAGTAAGATGGCATGTAGCAGTTATAAAATAAAAATATATTCTTTACTATTAATTTGTATTTTGCATAAAGAAAACGTTTTTTCTGAATCACCTATACACGAAGTCTATGGAACCACACGAACACCTAAATATTCGATAAATGGTTTTACTGAACCATCATCCTCAGCTGCCAAAATGCAAATGTTATAGTCCTTGTTTGTGAACTTTTGGTACCAAACCTTCACAGTGTCATACCTAAAGCTGTAACATGATTTGGTGACATTATGTAGTTGACTTTTTGCAACAGAACTGAAAGTAAATGATGGTTCTAATCTGGTAGCGTAATAGTTCCATTTCAGATACCTTGTACTTAGTGATATTTTTTTGGACAAGTTTCATAACACAGAGCTCTAAAGCAAATCTCTTTCTTTCAACTGTCAAAAATACTTTGACAAAATATGATTAAACATGGCAACATGGACTGTTTGCACAAACGATATTTGAAGTGGCAGCAAACTTTTGTTAAAATTCCAATAAATCATGGTTTAGACAGATTCTGAAGTACCCGAATGGTCTGAAAAGAAATCTGTCACATTGTTCCGTCTTATATGTGGTCATGACAGCATTTATCAGCATCTTCAATATCCCTCCTAATTCTCCTTGCCCCTTATGCAATCTGAAGAAAGACATGGAGTTGCTATATCTCCACAAATGCCCTGCTCTTTACACCCTATTTCAATTTGGAAGTGCTACTGGGTGGCAAGGAATGGCCAGAGTTTATAGGTATACTGATGTCACTTTTCTTGTTTTTGTTTCATAGTTTAACTGATGTTCAGGTGTGTTGTAATGTGCCATAAGAAATAATAATTATAATTAAAAAAAAAAAAAAAAAAAACTAAAAATGGTAGATTGCATACTATAATGATTACACAATTATTAATAATAACTTTGAACAATCTAAAATCAGTAAAAAAAGTTGCACAGTTAAGTAATATGACTTATCTTAACTAAATCCTTTATTCGGATATTTTATTGCAAATATGTGAAAAGATTGCAGTTACAGAGAAAGCCTTTCATTATTTTATGAGCATATAAAACTTTTAATATATTTGACAAGATCAACTTGACAGTACACAATAAAGATTTGAATTCATGCAATCAAAAATGGATTTCATAATGATTATATTTTGTAATAATAAAATAAAAAAATAAAAATCTACTGGCATTAATTTCCATACATTAAAAAATTAAACAGATTTCGATATTATTATATTTCAATACTTTACATAATTTCACTAAATTTACTCAGCATTTTTGTTAAAATTCATATTTGTGTTCCTGGAGTCATCAAACTTCTATTAATTTATAAGATACAAAAATTATGCACACTCTTTTGGAATTAGACAAGTCAAAATAAAATAACTTTCTTCAAATTTTCAATAAATCTGAATCTATGTGTGAACATATATATTATATACATATTGCCACTAAATTGGGTACCACACTACTGTTGCCTCATTTCTACAAATATGAGGATACTGTCATAGGATATATCAGGTGATCATGACAACATTTGAAAAATCCTGAATATTTACCCTGGAGTAGAAAACGAAACATAATTCAAAATTATAAACATGATATACATACATATACAAACATAGTTTATCAGTTTCATTAATAAAGCAAAAAATGCATATTTTTTAATTTATTAAAATTTACCTTTCCCTACATCATTTCACAATATTATTATTATTATTATTATTTTATTATTTTTTTTTTTTACATAGCTTGCTTTTTTCGAAGGGAAAGCTTTAAGTTCTGGGAATTACTACATTTGTATTTTCTTTCCTATAAATTATAAAACATTACATTAAAATTAGTTGTTTATTGATTATTCAAAATTTCCTACCTTTACCTTTCGTTGTCAATGGAATCTTTTTTAAAAAGCTGCTATTATATCTTTGATTCCAATAATTTGATCTTCCAGTATATCATT